AAAAGGGCAGTCCTTTCCTTTATGATTGTATGAATGTTCAATTTCCATCCAAACAAATTAGGTGTCAGTTCTCTTCCACATCTATGCTAAATTTGACGTTTTCATTCATTACGTTTATGAAGACCAGGAAATCGTCTAATTTTTCTTTTCCATGCGAAAAGATTGAGAAGTAGTCATCAAATATCGCATAATTACAGTTGGTTGCTGAGGTAACCTTTTGAAATTCTCCTCCAACTCGTTCATGCAGATATTAGCCAACAAAGGTAATAATAGTTAAACTATTGGCAGATGAAATATATTTGGTCATAGATGCGGCCGTTGAATGTTAAATAGGTGGTTCCTATTGTTAAGTTGATTAATCGGATTAGAGACTTCACGGATTCGCTCCGTCTACAGGATGTCCTCTTATTTTTTCAAGATCTCCAGTAGTGCCGTGAGTGCTTTTTCTCTTGATATATTGGTTTATATGGACTAAACATCAAAGCTTAACAAAAGTTTGTTTCCTTCCAAACTGGTACTTTTGATTTTTTGACAAATTCGTATGAGTTCTTCATTGTATTCGATAATTTGTGATTCACTTTCCTTAATTTAAGGCAAATAAATTTCGCCAATTTATGTGTTGGTGTTTACTATCCGTCTGAATGGTTCTCCTTCGACAAATATTATGTTACCGGGGCTGTTGCATCCTTTCGTATGAGTTGATTCATTGCCCATTTGACGATTTACCCGTTCATATTCATTTCCTTTAATCATTTCTTGCAGTGTATCTTTCATTTTAACTGTTAGGTCTTTTGCTAGCAGTCGGTAAGCTGTAGTGTTCCCGAGAAAATTTTGCATTTTCTCTTTATACTCCTTCCTGTCCATCACCACTGTGGTACCTCGTTTGTCAGCTTCCAGGACCATTTGTTTGTTTCCTCTCAATTCTTTTTATCTCTATGTATATATAGGTTAGATTGTTCACATCTGTGGGTTCTTGATGCGCCAAGATTGTTAGGGTGATTTCTATTTTAAGCTATATTTTCGACTCTTTAGGTAGCTTCTAAGAGGTATTTACCACCTCAACTTCAATGTCCTTAATCGTCTTTCTTTCATTTAGAAGTACAAAATTCAGTGCTTTATTGACGATTTCTGCGATTTCCAGGTCGAGAGATGAAAGACGGATTCACTACTTTATCTTCATTTCTTGTCTGGACTGTGAGATCCGTCATTCTAAAGACATTCTCATTTTTGCTTAATGGTTGGAATTTGGACTTCCTTTAGATCCCATATTTATTCAGCTTCTACAGATACCTTTCTAAATTAAGTCCTATATATTTTTCGGCATTTTGTCAGTCATCTTCTGTGGTTTAAGGGAAATACTCCAGAGTAAGAATCTGTCTTAAGATGACATCATGGTCAAGCCTTTAATACATGGACTACGTCTCTTGTAAAACCTACTGCCAGCCAACTAGCTCCAGTCTCCGCCGCGTCTAGCCTGTCTCTATCTCTAATACCAAGTCTATGACTTGTCATGCCCTAGTCTCTTGTGTGCCAACCCACAAAAGTTGTGGTTCATCATTGAACCGAGTCAAAGTTAAAAAATGACTATGATTATAAAGGATTTGATGGGGATAGGATGAGTTATGCATCAAGTTCTGTCCTAGGACCTAATAGAAAGATAAAAGATTGGACCAGTCGTAAAATTATCAGATGAGCAAAGTTAATTGGTTGTATGCGTGTTCGTAGTGTAAGCAAATGAGCAAGAATAAAGGTAAAAAGGGAGTTGTAGCGAGACGACCAAAAGCTTTCTAAAGTTATTTAGGAAAAATATATAGACATTAATAAGGACATGCGAAGACCCAAAGTAGATAAGTAAATTTAGAAGTTATTTGACCTTGTTTTCTCAACTCGGTCATATTGGTAAAAAGACTTAGAGGAACGCAGACAGTGGACGTGATACATTCCCAGACGTTTCGCCGGCATCGTAGCTGAGTCTCGCCATTCTTAGCATCATTCGACAGCTCGTCAAAGAGACAAGTGAAGCCTATCCTTAGACCAAACGTGTGCTAAACAGTTGTGATATCGCCCCTTCTGTCCTGAGTTATTTACATTTCCTATATCCTCCTGTCACGCCTTCACTGTCTCCATTTTTACCGTGCTTAATCCGATGTACTGTGGTGTACTCATTCGAGCGACATTCATGAAAACCCTTTACACTCCACGCTGTCATTCTCACCCTCTTCACCCCTGTGCTAGAAATGTTGATCAGAGTTTGCCATATTGCGACAGAATAAAAGCCCATTCTATCTTGGTCTTTATATCTCAACTACTTGAAGCCATTCACTCTCATAGATTTAATCTGATTTCTGAAAGAAGGAATTTACTTCATCCAAGCGGCAGTTCATCACTAACTTTTGACTCCACTACTTCTTCCGGGCACTGCCTCTCCCTAGGAGACTGTCTCTTAATCGCGTTTTGCTATTACAGTTCATCACTGTTTGCTAGCCTCTTTCTCGCATCGGCGGTGTTCCTCAGGTTCTGCTCGCAGAAATTCCCGACGCTCGTCTCATTTACAGCCTGGAACCTATCATTCTGACAGCATCGTATCGTTTATCTGATGTCATCCTCATGGATTGTCGGATGCACGTATCTTTATGTGCCCCTAATGTTCCAACATCTCATACACCGCCCCTTCTCTCTTCTCCCAATGTGATAAAGCAATCCTACCCGACCTCCGCGTAATGAGACTACGCTCAGTCATCGTTGTACGTCCAGGGTAAAATCTGCTTACAACCTTTTCGTTGCCTCCTAGTCTAGATGACTACACTTGCTAAACAAGAGCTCTGCGGCTTTGCCGCAAGACAGACTTTCAAGTTAATTTTACTTATCAAAGGTATGAAGACCAAGATGCTGTGGCCTTTTGTGTGGTCGCAGTCTCCCTTCGTTGTATAGACGCTGTTTGACCTTGTTTTCGCAACTTGGTCATATTGGCAAGACGACTTAGAGGAACGCTCTTAGTCCAGCGTCCATTGTATGCATGATTATTTCCAAAGTTTAACCGTGGACCGTGGTACATTCTCAAACGTTTCACCGGCATCATCAGTAAGTATTGCCATTCTTAGCACCATACAACAACTCGTCAAAGAGACTTCTCTCTAAGAATGGCGATACTCAGTGACGATACCGACTACGACGCCGGCGAAACGTCTGGGAATGTAGCAAGTCCACAATCCGACTTTGGAAATGATTATGCATACAATGGACTCCGGACAAGATGCGTTCCTCTAAGTCTTCTAACCAATATGAACAAGTTGCGAAAACAAGGTCAAACAGCTTCTATACAACGAAAGGAGACTGCGACCACACAAAAGACCACAGCATCTTGGTCTTCATACCTTTGATAAGTAAAATTAACTTGAAAGTCTGTCTTGCGGCAAAGCCGCAGAGCTCTTGTTTAGCAAGTGTAGTCATCTAGACTAGGAGGCAACGAAAAGGTTGTAAGCAGATTTTACCCTGGACGTACAACGATGACTGAGCGTAGTCTCATTACGCGGGGGTCGGGTAGGATGGCTTCATCACAGTGGGAGAAGAGAGAAGGGGCGGCGTATGAGATGTTGGAACATTACGGGCACATGAAGATACGTGCATCCGACAATCCATGAGGATAACATCAGATAAACGATACGATGCTGTCAGAATGATAGGTTCCAGGCTGTAAATGAGACGAGCGTCGGGAATTTCTGCGAGCAGAACCTGAGGAACACCGCCGATGCGAGAAAGAGGCTAGCAAACAGTGATGAACTGTAATAGCAAAACGCGATTAAGAGACAGTCTCCTAGGGAGAGGCAGTGCCCGGAAGAAGTAGTGGAGTCAAAAGTTAGTGATGAACTGCCGTTTGGATGAAGTAAATTCCTTCTTTCAGAAATTAGATTAAAACTATGAGAGTGAATGGCTTCAATTAGTTGAGATATAAAGACCAAGATAGAGTGGGCTTTTATTCTGTCGCAATTTCCTTTAGCTGGATAGTTTAGAGTTTACCTCATTTTCGCAACTTAGTCGGAGAGACAGAGACCTTGTGGAACGAATTTACTCCTGTGTCATCTGCCATAGAATATATGATGATTTCAAGCATCGGACCGTTTGCAGACACAGTCAGCATCGGCAATGTTGGAATTCCTTTCATTTCATTTGAAGAGGCGAGTGAAAGGGATTCATAAGTCGAGAGTCTAAAGGTGATTGTCTTGGCGCTGTGACTGCAGATTTGTGTGAATAAGTCATCGGCTTGCCGTCTCTCAACTCCGCTGAATCTTTGCTGAGCTTTTGTCCGTCTTGTTATGGAAATCCACAAAGCAGAACACTATGCTTTATAAAAATTCACCAAGCACAAAGACAAGAATGAAGGCTATCTGCAATGCTACATACTTCTTAGTTTAACTTTGTCTAATTAATGAGACATCTCATGCTTTGGTTGCATATCCAATACCTTTACAAAATGTTGTTTAAAAGTAAAATGGACGCTGATAACACATGGAGTGGCTGTAAATGAAGCGTAAAACGGATGTAATTAAGACAAAACACCTGAATCCTACTCTAAACTACCTATATTTTTTATTCTGCATGTTGCTGCATGTGGTTGCATTCCCTTGCACGTGTGCTGGATGCATGCAATGATCGTGAGATACATGAAGTGTGCAATTGAAGTCCATAATTGAGGCTAATCAAGCTTCCTCACTTCTCTGTCTCTTACAAATAGTTTTCACTAACTTTCCTACAATTATATATTATATTCAGGATGTTTGCTGTTTTTTTAAATTCTACAGATTCCAT